CCCAAAATCGTTTTTTTTTTTTTTTTTTTTTTTTTTTTTTATTTATTTATTTTTTATTATATAGTGGCCAAATGGACCACGGATCAGATATTAAACTGATCAGAACAGATACTACACTTGATCTTAGCCAAAAGGCCGAGAAAGGTATAAAGTCGTATTTTCTTTTAAAAAATGGGATGCCCGATTTGGGAATATAGTGGCTGGACGGGTCACACTGCTTCCCCATTTAGCAACAGACAAGGTTGCGGCCCCCTGGATTTTGGGTCCTCTTCGACTGCTCCAGTCACACTGCGAGATCACATTTCCTGGCAATATTTTCGTCTTTGAATTTCTTTCCATTCCGCAGGTTGATTCCAAACAAGAAAGGGAATTTGCGGTAAACCCGCGGCCCCTCAGGCCGCTGACAAATGGGGTCACAGATAAGTAGTTTGGGGAAATGAGCTTTTACCTCCACCCCTTTCTCCCCCTTCCAACTGCCTGGTAGGAATGCAATGGTGTGGTATTGATGGATGAAAAGTGAAGTCAAGGGTTAAAGATCTTAGTCGTAAATATAAAGCGATTCCCCTTAGTGCCAAGCCTTATCAGCTTTAGATGGCGCCCTTCTTTGGAGGGTGGAGAGGCACAGACTAGGGGATCTCACAGTTACTGGTCTCGTGGTTTTCAGACAGTATCATTGGCTGTATATGGGATGCTGGACCTGTTTTCCAGCAGGTGACGCTCCCCACCAATAGATGGAGCCTCTCCCCAGGTGTTAGTGGTGTCTACTCCTATCAGCATCACTAACACCGGTGGAGTCGTTCGAAAAAAAAAAAAAAAAAAAAAAAAAAGTTTGGGGAAATGATGTCCTGGCTTGGGGGAAAGAGGGAGGGCTGGGTGGCAAAGGTGAGCCGGTCGGGCGACATGTGTCCGCATGAGGAGCAGGGGGCAGAGCTAAAAACGGACTATTTGCTGCACTTCCATGAATGGACAAAGGTGGACCCTGGAGATCCATTACGACCTGCCCAGGAGTTCGTTGATCCCTTTCCCCCCCATCCGTGGGCCCTGGAGGTGCGTCTGGGGGACAGGGCATGACTACCTGTTTGTTTTTTAGGGCGCTGAGCCTGATACATTCCCAGGCAAATCCAATGTTGATTGAGCCAGGGACGCTGGACCCAGTTTCCAGCACTTTGGCGTCACTTCCATTAATATTTGGTTCTGCCAGGGACGCTGGACCCGGTTTCCAGCAGAAGAGAGGTATTCCATTTTATGACATTGATCTGAATTCTCAGCATACAATAGACACCACGGGGGAAGTAGGTGGTAGGCAGGGGCTGGGTGAAGGAGGGAAACTTCACTAGTGCCCCCCAGTGGCCCTCCACCCTTTACCCGACCAGGCCACAGGTTAGGAAGGGGGTTAAGGTTTCGATATGGGATGCTGGACCCGTTTTCCAGCACAGTGGTGTCCTGTTCAAATGGAACGATTTGTAAAGATGTATTCAAGGGACACTGGACCCGGTTTCCAGCAGGTGATGCTCCCCACCAATAGATGGAGCAGTTTCAAAAAAAAAAGAAAAAAAAGAAAAAAAAAAAGGTCCTGGTAAGACTATCCCTCTGACACTTTCTTTTCGGGATTTTGGGGATTATGCGGATTTGGTACCGCAGTGTTAGCGTGTGACGAACCAATTTCTGTTCCGCGCGATTTTCTGCGCGATGACAATGAGGGGTCCTAAGATGGGAAGGATGGGCCAATTACGGGAGATAGGGATCGAAGGGAAATTGCATCAGTGTCCTCGCCTCTTCGTCTTTGTGTGTCGCTTCTTTTTTATGGCTGGGTTCCGGGCCGGGCAAGTCCCGAGATGGCCGATTGAGTGGCTGTCACACCGAAGAAGGCATGATTAATAATGTTTGACGTCGCTTCTTTCTTGTTCTGTTGTCGTGTTTTAGGCGCGAAGGTCGCGCGGGAAGTTTTGCTCCTTTTTGAATTTATTTCTCAAATCTTGTCGAGCCCTCGATGACTCTCGGAATTTCGGACTTTCTTTTCGGAATTTGCGTTTTATTGAAGTTCTTTTTGCAATAAGTTTAGGAATTTAGGAATTTAGAAATTCAGGATTTCTTTTGCCGCGCGTTGTCTTTCTTGCCCACGTCTTGTTGCGGCTGCAGCGGAGCTCTGATTAGTCCGCGCCCTTAATCTCGTGTGTAACTGTAATTTTTGGGCAGGCGCCATTG